GGCCACTGGACGGCCACTCACGGCGGCTCACAGCAGCTCATGCTGGTTGCTGGTAGCTTACGGCAGCCCACTGCAGCCCCACTGCAGCCTACGCCACTCCCGGCCACTCACGGCAGCTTAGCTCCAGGTTGAGCTGTTGTTCACCATCTTAGCTGTAGAGGGCGCAGAGTCACTTGCCCATGTGGTAATCAAACCGGCGGCCCTGCTGCTCAGAACTCGCGCTCCCTAGCCAACTCTTAACCAACTGAGCCACTCGGCCGGCCCTGTAAGTTATCTTTTTAAAGTGCTTTTTTCCAAAGAGCACAAGCTGATATTCTACCTTTCTTCTGTATTGAGTGTGGCACATCGTCAATGATGAACAAGACACCGGGGGAACACAAAGACAGTTATGAAAGTCTCCTCGTTCCTAAAAATAAAATCCCCTTTTAGTGTCAAATTAGTGTGATGTCCCATGGGTCCCTTAGTTTTGACAGAGACAAGGACTTGAGACTTCTTGGGAACACCAGCTGGGTAGCTTGGAGACAGAGTCGGCAGCCCAGGAAAAGTCTTAGGGAACCAAGTGGTAGGAACGAAAGCCAAATAACATTTGAAAACAAGAAGTCAGGCTGTGTGAGACAGTCAGGATGAAGGTGGACATAAGCCAGGCTTCAAGAGGTAGGACCCTCTTCTCTCACAGTGGTTGGGGGAGAGTGGGAAGAGCAGGAGAGGAACAATTCCCACAGGTCCAGGAAGCCATGGCGGGAATGGAGGGAAGTAGGGAAGCTCTTTTGATGCCAAAAATGCACTGAACGATCATGTTTGTCTTTTCCAAAAGAAGATGGGACACCTAGTTTAACGAGCTTGAGACGGTATTAGAAGGACTGCACCAGCCCCACTGGGATGACCTATCGATGCTTTTCCTTCTCAAGGTTCTATGTTGGTGAGCAGATGTTGGATATGAGATGAGGTTATTTCCCACCAACTGCGTGAGTAATTCTGTGTTGGCCTGTAGCCAATAGTAAAAACATGTTGGTAGGAAAGAGGAATGATACACATTTTAAGAAGGATCAAAAGTCAGATTATTCTTTGTGTCCGGGAAATTAAAGAAATTATCCTGTTTAATTTACAAACTGCTTCTGGAGGTCAACATCCGGACACAGTTAACATCCCTAAATTCTGCTGGGAAGTCCAAAGTAAGGGTTCCCAAGATTTACTGAGGATCAGATGACCTGAGGTGCTTTCCAAAAATGCAGTTATCTGAAATCTATAGAGTCAGAAAGTGGGTTATTGGTTGCCTGGGGCTGGGTGGAAACAGGGAGTGGCAGCTAACTGGCACAAAGATCTTGTGGGGTGATGGAAATGGTCTAAAATTAGGCTGTGGTGATGTTTGCACAACTCTACAAATGTACAAAAATCAGTGAATTGTGCACCTAAAATGAGTACATTTTATGCTGTTTAAATGAAACCTCAATAAAACTGCTTTTTAAAAAGGCAAAGACTATAAAGGCTAAACTATTAAAGTCATATAGCACCACACCTCAGTGGTAGAAAAAATATTCAGCATTATTCTTTAATTTTACAAATAAATAAACATGTTAAAAGCACCCATATTTGTTTACTTTCTCATATAAATTCATAGGATACCATACCCAAAAATACAGTGAGCTAGGCATTGCCCCAATAAATTCTAATTCAAATGTTTGAGGGAAGACTCAGTCATCTATATATATATTTTTTAACCTCTTCAGGTGACTATAGGATATAGCCAGGTTTGAGAGCTGCTGGATAAAAGAGGCAAGGTTTTATTTCTTACTTTGTTTGTCTCATTTTCTTTTACTCCTAGGTATCAGGGATATCATCACAAATGAAAACTTCCTGTTCAAAAAAGAAATTAGAATCGTGGCAAGAGTAATAATTTTGGGGCCATGGGACAACAGGGAGTTTGAGATTTTGACACAGAGAGTAAAATAACCACCTTTGAACTTGAACCAATCACATAGATGGAATATCTATCTCAGTGTTTGCCTACAGATGACCACACATCCCAAGTATATTCCAGGAAAGTCTAAATTTCAAACATTCTTTCTACTGAGGCCATACATCATCAAAATATTTTAGGGGAGAGGAACTGGGCATGGGGGACAAAAGAGACAGAGTCTAGTCTTGCTTTTCACTGCACACCAGTTTGTCATCTTGTAGATTCTGAGCCATGAGTTACGTAAGTCACGTAGCTTTGAGTACATGAGTCAATTATTTTAATAATCCAGAGAACTTATTAAGCTTTGGCTTCCAAATTACACCTCACAGAATTAGCTTACAGATTGAGAAGGAGCCCATTAATTTACGATTTCATAGCCGTGGGCCCCATTCTGACACAAGAGAAAAGCAACCTGGGGCAAAGATAGGTGATATTGCTTTAGCCTTCTTTTTGTATTTTTACAGAACTAGGGAGAACTGGGAATTTGAACTCACAACTTCAATATTTGTCAAAAGCTCCCTAAGAGGGTTGTTCTAAAGATTGAACGAGGTAATGATCCATGTAAGTAAGTGCTGACTCTAGTATATAGCACAGAGCAATCCTGATCTAGAATTGCTTCCCTAAAGATGAAAATGTGTCCAGTGGTCAGAGATCTTCTTAGAGAAATTCCAGAAGTCTGACTTCTTAACAGAGCCAGCCCTAGTGGAGGAATGTGCTGGCTGGGTCCACATTCACGCAACTACAGCTCATGTTTTGATGCAAGGCTGAGTCTAGTTTGATCTCTACCCTGGATTTCTCTTGGAAGCACGCAATAGTGTCCAGACAAAATCACAACATCTGTGCCTCTCCTGCTGAGGCTGCCATTTTGCAGAAATAATCTCTGCTGAGCTCTGAGAGATGGAAATGAAAAGCAAAAAAAGGCAATCTGTCCACTGCACCTGGCCTGGGAAGATGCTGGGGGAACCTCCATGCTCTGAAGGGAAAACATCTGCTCTGCCATGAAGAACTAGGAAAACAATTTCCTTAAAAATAAACAGTTCCCAAGAGATCAATGGTCTGGAAAAATTCCTCTGAGATTCTCTCAGGCCCTGAAAAGTAAGCAACTTTTCAGCCAACCATCATAATTCATAACCCCTCCAAACATAACACATGCACCGCAATCTCGGAAGAGTCACAGGGGTTCTGAAAACGAGGCAAAATGCAGACGTCTCATGACTGCAGCAAAACTATCCTCAGAATCGCCTACTGAGGCCTGGACACACCTACCGAGCCCTGGACGTGAACCCCAGACATACTGCACAGCTGCTGTGTCCTCTCTGTGACCCTACCAACTCTCAAAGACTCTTCCCCCAGAAACATAGTTCATTCAGAGTTGTACACAGCAAAAATTCCCTATAAGTTGTGATCAGGAAGAAATGAAATTTAAAATCATTCTTTATTATTCAGTTTTTTTGAGGAGTGGTGTGGGGGAGAGTTGCTTTTCATCTCTAATTTACAGACACTTACTTAGCTATCTATTCTTTAAAAGGCACTGTAAGGGGACAAAGGTTAATCAGATGAAGACCTGCCTTCCAACTCACTTATAATCTAATAGGAGGGATTAGGTTTGCAAAGAAAAAAAGTACATACAAGATAATAATGATAATAACAATATTTAACAATTATTAAGTTCTTACTCTCGGCCAGGCACTGCACACATGCTAACACTTCCCAATGACCCTATGAGATAGTTATCACCATTGTTTTGCCACTGTGCAAGCTGAGTCTTACAGGGTTTAGGTAGTATTTTTCAAGGTTATAGTTAATAACTGAACTAGAATCCATTAACCATTCACGGGGCTGCCTATATGATACAAGAGTGGTGTTCTGTATCTCATGCCATTTCTGAATGTCAGGTACCTTGACAATATTTCTAACTTTTCAATTAAGTCTGGATTGAGAGGGTCAAACTCAGTGTTTGGAGTCAACACATATCAAAAGACCCGAGTCCCTCACAGACCAGACACACTCGAGTGTTTGAGGGTAAAGTGCTTCTCATGTGTAGTGTCATTAACTACACTGTGTTCTGGTGAAGAAAGTGTATTTTCCATACTGTTTATTCTTCTATAGAATAGGCCAGCTCCAGGTCTGGACAATTTTCATGTTATGTTAAATCACAAAGTTCTCTTATCCCACTTGTCAACTCATTCCTCCACGCTCCTTCCTAAATATTCATTCCTAAATGTTCTTGCACAATAAGTCTTCTTGGCCCACTCTCCTTGCAATCACAGGGGTTGAATTAAGATTCTGCACATTCACTTGTCACTTGGCATTTGTCTGACCTCACTGTCACAATGATCTGAAATCTTGTCGTTCTGTTCCTGGTGCATTTTTTTTGACACATCTGTCTTGTTACCCAATGTGACATTAAGCCTTACTGGTATTATAGGATAAGGCCCAACACAAGTTGGATATTTAATATCAATTAGTAGTTTTAAAAGCAGGTTTTAGAAAATGATCCCATCATCCCTCGCCCCTAATATAAAATGATTATTTTATATAACTTTCTGGTCTTTTGTCAGCGTCATAACATATGTAACAGTATATGGTATGTACAGTTATGTCTTTTTTTCTCGTCACATGCTGAGTTGTGTTTATAACCATCTTTTACTAATCACGTCCATATGGTTGAATATTTAGGATGAAGGAATGTTCTTGCTACTACATACATTATCAAACAGGTTCATGTATATAACGTTCCTAATATTTTAGCTGTTTCGCCTAGGCTAGGTGCCCAGAAGTGAGATTACTGTGGCAAATGATTTAAACATTTTTAAATCTCCTGATAGAGCTTGGCTTTTAAAACAAACAAGCAAACAAACAAACAACAACAAAAACACTGTACAGGGCACCATCTTTGTTTTGTTGCTATCTCTCAGATTCCCGCAAACACTCGGGAGTCTTTGTTGAAGGGATGTCATGCATTTTATAGATTTCTGTAAAGCCAGCGCCCCGCTCTGAGTTACCCCAGAAGACCTGAGGGCACCCAGCAAGCGCCACTCACCTTCCGCCCTCCCGCTGCCCTTCTGTCTGCTGTTGAGCAGAGGCAGCACCTCCAGCGACGCGATGCCTGACCTCTCCAGGATATTCACTTCCACCGTCAGCTTCCCGACGAGCTGCTGGGGTCGCACGCTGATGACGTGCTCATACTTTCCCAGCCGCCTCTGCAAGAGCTCTTCATAACTGAGGAGGAAGACAGCTTTCTCCTTGCTGGGAATCACCAAGGAGGCTCTGAACGTCTCAGTCCCCCTCTCCCTGTAAGGAAAAGAAAAGGGAACAGAGCGTCAGAGAAAGCCAGGTTCCCTCAAGTCCTCCTTGGGGCACACCACATGCTCTGTGAGAGTCCTTAGAAATTAAAGATAAACGTTAGCATTGGGAAGAGAAGTAAAGGCCTGCACTAGAGCGAGGTTGCAAAGGTGCAAATAACACCAAAGAGTAGAGAATTCAAACACTATGAAACGCTCCTTCCTCTCCCTGAGTCAGGCCTGAGGAGGGCAAAGGGGAAAGGGGACATCGAAATAGGTGAACTGCTGGAAAAGGAATCTTTGGGGTCTAGATGTGAATTACATTCTCCTCTTTGCAGGGATGGCCAAAGAAACCTAACGTTTTACATAACTTTACATAGCTACTATATGAGGTTTTTATACCTTGGTAAAGTTTGGTGGATGGGTTTAGGGGACTTGGAGTGAGGGTTCTCTGATTCAAGATGGGAGTCTGACCAAAAAAAGGGAGAGTAAAGGATTAAACCAAAAGGATACGTAGGGTAGGGGCACCCATCAGTGGTTGGGACATTTCAAGACATTTCTGGAAGACTTGGAGAATTCAGTAGAGCAAGAACTCTACAGCTCAGACTATCTAGGGAGGGGCTGCAGCAAAGGAGAGAAACAAACCATCTGCAAAATCTCAGAAAGACTGCAGGCTCTGGTTCAGACAGACACCACAAGGTGGGAATGAGAAGAGGGACCAAAGGCAGGGAGGAGAACTCCAAGTCCACATATAAATGAATGACTAAGATGATAGGCTTCCTACACTCTTTCCCGGAGCTGAAAAGAGACAGTGTTACAAGTGTTAAGATGGAAAAGTTTCACTGAGAGCTAGGCAGAATGAACGAAAAAGGACTGACACTTAAATTCATTACTGTACAATTTCAGAACATCAGGCAGAGAAAACAAAGAAAAGGAATAGTACTAGACCACATTGGATGTATCATCAGTAATACTGAATGTTGTAAGGCGCTGGAGCAACGTCTTCAAAGTTTGCATGGTAAATTATTATGGATTTTAAATTTCATACATTGTCAACATTTTAATCAAGGTCTTAGAAAGTCTGCCTCTCACACACCCATTTTAAGGCAGTTACTTCAGAATATACTCCAGCAAGGTGAAGGTGAAAACCAAAAAAGAAGAAGATATGGAATACAAGAAGTAATGAAACCAAGCCAGATGAAAATGAAAAGATGCCCCGGGGTAAACATTATGTGACAAGGCTGTAAAGCAATGACAGTCTTCCATGGATCAGAAGACACCCATTCTTCCATGTTTAACAGCTCTGAAATCAGGATGTCTCCCCCAATCAGTGATGCCTTCCAGTCATTGTTTGCAATGACATGGATATCACCGCTGATAAAAAGTTGGTCATAGCTCTTAATTTAGTCACCATTTCAAATGAGTTACGTGTCTTATTAGATGCTAATAGTGAGGGACAAAATTAAGTTTTATTTCATAAGAAAGACAATTAGAAACTTCAGGAAAAACAGATATGTATATGTTGTGATCCATATAGTTTATAGTAAACTAAACTGGCATGATTCTGAACAATTTATGAACTGTAGGAAAAGGTAATGTCGATACAGCCCATCTAATAAAGACCACTTGGGATCCACTTATAGTCTAACAAAGTTAGGTTTTAATAACCTGCTGTGGCAAGGGAGACCACGTACCAGAGGCATCAGGGAACATCCTGCCAAACAAAGAAAGACACGGGGTTATTATAGGATTGGAGGAAGGGTGGAGTATAGGTAAAATTAAATGAAACAGTGTTTGGAGACTCAAAGAAAAGTAAGACTGCATGTAAAGCATTTAATATCAGCCTGGACTGAGAAACAAACTCAAGGTTCTTTGTTCTTAGGAACTACAAAATTAAGATAAATGTGGACTTCTATGTCTGACAACCCCTTATCTGAAGCTGTGGAGTGTGGCTGCTTTCTGTATTAAAGTGAACCCATGACTCACGAGTTCCATTCTCACTAATAGGGTTTCCAACAGCAGAGTTTTTGGCAGTCTATGATTTTGGAGAACAAGCTTTGTCAAAACTACATCCTTTCATTAATGAGCAAAACAGGTTTACACGTTCACATTTTATCTAGATACTAAGATCATTTTCCTTCAAAGGGGCTGTTAGAGAGGGAAATAGAATCTTAGTATAGTAGGTGGCTCTGCAGCTAACATTATTTATGTATCATTGAAAAGTAAACACTACTTACTGGTTTTCAATGTTTAGATTCAGTTCACAGACAAAACCAAAAATACAAATATTATGACAGGTCAGAATTTAAATGTTAGTAACTCTGACAATGCAAAATTAAATGATTAGGTAAGAAAAGATGGGTGTTGAAATGAAATTGGAAAGGTAGGATGAAGTGTAAGAAAGGGAATATTAGCATCGAAGATAGCAGGGACAGTCTAAGATGGTATAACTGCTTAAACTGATGGAAAAAGAAGGAATAATAATGTAAAAATGTGGAATACGAGAGAAAATATGAGTATTGTAATTATGCTAAATCCTCTGTCTTCATAGCAGAGAATCAACAGATAATGTCTGATTTTTATCAAGAAACTTTTAAAAAGCAGGACTACCATGATAATTAGTTAGGGAGGTAACTACAAAGAACTACAGAAATATTAAAAGTGGATGTTTTAGGAAGTGAGAACTGATGAATGGGAGTATTAAAATCTTCCTTTTTATTATAAACCCTATCTACTATATTGTTAACCAGGTATAGCTAATTATCATGATGATAAAAAATAAAAAGAAAATAAATACTCAAAGGAAGGAAAGAGATCCAGATGGCCAGGCAAAGAGGGAGAAAAATTGACACTTTGCTGAAGTGAATATTTAATTCTTAATTAAATGGCACTTACCCATTATCTTCTGTTTTATTCCTTTTCTCTTTTATCTTATCACCATTTTTCTTTTCTCGCTCTGTAATTTCTCCCTGATACACCTTGTCACCAATAAGCCTGAAACACAAGAGACAGCTGTGTTACCAGCTTGCACTTCCAAGACAAACTTAAACATGGATCTCATAACCATGACAACACTAGAAAATATTTTTATTTGCCTCTTGGCTATGCAGAAACTACATTCCAGACCAGGGCACTACCCTTGAACCACTCATTTCATTCTAGGGCAATTTTCAACAGGTCCAAATGGTAAGACCCAACCCACGGTGCCTCCGTGATCCTCCAGGAAGAAATCAGATCTATTCAAACTTCCATGATGATTCACCAACTTGAATCTTGCCCAGGCCTAAAATTCAAACGAAACACCTACCTTATTTTGCAGATCTTTACTTCTTAATTCAGAAGAAAAGTAGAAATACATCTAGCCTAGCAAAGGTTTCATGCTGTCTTATCATTCAGATCTCAACTTAAACATTGCTTTTTCTGAGCCACCTTCCTGATTTCCCTACCTAAACAAGCCCCTCTCAGTCCTACTTGCTATCTTTATAGCATTTCCTACTATCTGATAATATCTCATTTATTGATTGGTTTACTTATTTTTTAAAAATAAATGTGGGGTTTTTTTGTTTTTGTTTTTGTTTTATTGGGGAACAGTGTTTTTTCCAGGACCCATTGGCTCCAAGTCAAGTAGTTGCTTCCATCTAGATGCGGAGGGTGCATCTCACTGGCCCATGTGGGAATTGAACCGGCAACCTTGCTGTTATGAGCACTGCGCCACCTGAGCTAACCGGCCGCCTCTGATTTGTTTACTTATTATTATTATAGAATTTCTGGAGTAGAGCAGCACTGTCTTTTTCATAGAAGTATACAATCACTTGGAAGAGTGTATGACCCCAAGTGGGTACCCATTTATTGGAGGGAAAGAGAGAAAGAAAGAGGGAAAAGTGTGGGGGGGGGAATGGAAGGAGGGAAAGAAGAAGAAAGGAAGGAAGGGAGCAAGTGAGGAAGGGAGAAGGAAGGGGAAGAAGGAAGGAGGGAAGGGAGAAAGAAATCAACCTTCTGACCCATTTACCATCCACTGGGAAATAAATTCTCAGAGCCAAAGGCTGTGACCACACATCATCTCAGGCTCACCCTAACCACCCCACATAGAAATCCTTATCCCTATGGGTCTCTGACCATGTGTCACCTACATAGTGAAGTTGGTGATGAAAGCTGCGGCTGGAATCTGCATCAGGAACTCAACTTCCTGGTCCTCAGATGCTCGATTCAGCATTCTGCAGGAAACCGTAGTGAAGGCATAGCGAGAAATAATGGTAGACTTCACTGAGAATTCTGTCATCAAGGGTTTGGTTTTCTGTTGGAATTAAAACACACGGTATTTTCAGTGATGCATGAAATCATGATTCAACCATTTTAGGGGTAGATGAAGTCATTTTCCTCCATAAGAGAAATAACCTTCAATTTGGGAGACATTGGCACGTGACTCTTTACTTCTTTTCTTTGTCTCTCCCGATTTTCCCATTTTTTACTCCCTCCATTAGTAAAACAACAATGGCTGAACAACCGGTTAATGACATTGAAGCAAATCTTTTAACAGAACTTTAACAAATGAACATTAAGATGTCCAATTTAACAAAGAATATACATTGCTTAAATAGATTAATGAATTATTGGAATTTTAGAAGTAAAATACATCAAGTACATAATATTTTTCTGTTATAAACACTTAGATCACATTTATAGAATCACTGAATTGATCAAAAATCAGAGCATGGGGCCAGCTGAGTGGCGCATTGGTTAAGAGCTGGCTTGGGATGCCAGAGGGCCCCGGTTCGGATCCCACATATGAGGGCCAGTGACACTGACCTCTACAGCTAAGATGCTGAACAACAGCTCAACCTGGAGCTGGGCTGCTGTGGGTCGCCAGCGATGGCATAGGCTGCAGCCCCTGCTGCAGTGGGTTGCCATAAGCTACCATGTGTAGCCAGCAGCCAGCATGAGCGGCCAGCAGCCGCAGTGAGTGGCCGTCCAGAAGCCGGCAACTGATCTGCCTCACCCGGGAAGAGCGCAATGATGGTGCCAACTTGGGCCAGTGAAGCAACGTCCTCCACAACTAGACTGAAGAACAAAAGGACAGCAACTTGTCTGTTCCCCTTCCCCCAATTCCCCAGCACTGTTCCCCTTCCCCAATTCCCCAATAAAATCTTTAAAAATAAATAAATAAATAAAGTCTTACCATTAAAAAAAAATCAGAGCACATCTAAGGAAATCCTCATATTTTCAAATTAATTTCATCATCCACTAAGAGACCCTGTATTCTGGGCTTTCCCATTTGGACTACAATCACATTATTGTAAAATGGGAATTGATATTGAGCTCAAGAAAGTATTTGAGGAATTAGAACCCCGAAAGAAAAAGGAAAGTCTATGCTTGTTAATTTTATCCCCAAAGCCTCTGACAAGGGCAGTATCTGCTCCTTTAGGAATAAGTTTGATCCCTGGTCTACACTATGTAAACAGATAGGCCGTGATATCAGTCATTTACCTGTCTTTACTGACTGGTGTGGTTTAGGAAGAGATCTCAAATTATATAGCCCATAGATACTTTTATTTGACTTGCACAATCTTTAAAAATAATTTTAAGTTTAGGTGGTAACACTTAAAAAATTGGGAACGTTCATGTAAAAACCCATAATGCCGATTTCTCTTGAAACAGAAAGTGGGGCCCCCCTTGGCTGCCCATCCCATAAGACCAGGACTTCTGCCACTAATGGTGGCTGCTACTTCAGATCAGACCCACATCCCAGGCTCCCAGCTCCCAGGCCCTACCAATCCCAATCATCTCACTGACACTGAGGCTGACAGAGTAGCCATTTTCACTGTGTTGTTACTGGAGTTTTCCTTATTTCATACTCAGTGATGTCCTATGCTCTAACAGATTAAAAATGGCCAATGTGTACACCTATATTCATAGCATTTTTCACAATAGCTAAAATGTGGAAGTAATCCAAGTGTTCATCAATGGTTGAATGGACAAACAAAATATGGTATATATGTATAACAGAATATTATTCTGCCTTAAAAAGGAAATTCTGGGCCAGCCAAGTGGCTCAGTTGGTTAAGAGTTAACTTAAGAGCATGCAGGGCCGCTGGTTTGATTCCCACATGGGCCAGTGATGCTGTGCCAGAGCTGAGCTGCCACTGTGCTGCCAACAGGTGGCAGGATGGCTCAGCTGGTGAGAGCACGTGCTCCTAACAACAAGAATGCCTGTTCGATGGTGGGCTTCGCCCGCCCACAACTAAGACTGAACTCTGCACTTGGAGCTGAGCTGCCACTCGGATAGCTCAGTGGATACAGCATGTGCTCTTAACAACAAGGCTGCTGGTTTGACTCCCACATGGGATGGTGGCTACGCCCATCTGCAACTAAGATTGTAACACAGCACCTTGAGCTTAGAGGCCACAAGCTGCCGACGGGGAGCCAGATGGCGACTGGCACCCTCCGCAACTAAGACTGAAGAACAACAACTTGGCTGGTCCCCCTCTCCAATCCCTCAACACTGTTCCCCTCCCCCAATTTCCCAATTAAAAAAAAAAAAAAGAAATTCTGACACATGCTGCAACATGTCCTCATGTCCATGAGGACATTATGCTACGTGAAATAAATCAGTCACAAAAAGACAAATACTGTATGATTCCATTTATGAAGTTCCTAGAGAAATCAAATTCATAGAGACAGAAAGTAAAATTGTGGTTTCCAGGGGCTGGGGGAAAGGGGAAGTGAGAAGTTACTGTTTAATGGGCACAGAGTTTCACTTTTGCAAGATGAAAACAGTTCTGGGGATGGATGGTGGTGATGGTTGTATGACAGTGTGAATGTGCTTAATACCACTTAACTGTACACTTTAAAGCATTATGGTAAATTTTATGCTATGTGTATTTTACCACAATAATAAAAAAATGAATGAAAAAAATAAGACTTTTTCTTTTTACATGGCCACAAATACTTTGCTTCTCCTGCTTTTGAGAGCTAGAGTTTTATTCATTTCCCTTTCAATCTGGGCCTTAGTGACTTGTTTCACCTATCGAACCCACTGACAGTGATATCCTGGGACTCTGAGGCCAGGTCACAGGAAGCCTCACCACTTTCATCAGGTTGTTGGAACTCTCTCTGGAGGCCCTGAGTGACCATGTGAGACTAGGACTGTCATGCTGGAGAGGACATATATAGACACTGCAGTCACTGTGGCAGCAGGGTCCAGCTGCAGCCATTCCTGCGCAAGAGCCCAGTGCGTAAACAAAGCTGTAGTGAACCGTCCAGATGAGCCCACCTGCCAGCTCAATAACACAGCACAACCTCCATGGACATCATGTGGCCAGAAGAACCGCTCAGCTGAGTCCTTCCTGAACCCGTGCCCCACAAACGGTGCACTAAAATGGTTGTTGTTCTAAAGCCACTGAGTTTGGGAGAAGGTTTTTATACAGCAATAGAAACTGGAACTCCTGCCTCTCTCTGTAGTTATTTGAGTTTGCAACCCTACTTTAGTGTGACTCCTGCTTGAGTGGGATTTAGTCATTTTGTTGGTTATTTTGAACTGTATGTTATTTCTGTTCTCTATGTCTCTTATTTGTTTTGTTTTGTGAACTAGACTTCTGCATATTAGAAATACCCTTGAAAGCCTACTGGACAAAAATTACAGTATAAATTATAAAGACAAAAATATGAAGAATAAGAGACTCTCAAGTCCAATCCCCTTGCTTTACCAACGTAGGCCAATCAGTTTGCTGTTCCAGATCGCACAGGTAGGAGGTAATAAATCCAGCGTGAGAACCTAGAGCCCCTGACTTCTGGCCCTGACCCCTTTCGTGAAAGGATTCAGAGGCAGTGTGGCCGTTCAAGGCTTTCTGCGGTAACCATTGTTAGATGGCCAATAACATACAGAACTCAAAAAGTAGGCTAAATATAATTCAGTCTTTGCTGCTGATTCAAAAGTTACCTGTGGCCAGGGTGTTGGTGGTATAGTGGTTAGCATGGCTGCCTTCCAAAAGTTACCTGTGAACGAACCTCAGTGATCATCCATTAAATTGTCAACATTCAAGACATAGGACATTAAGCTGAACCCATTCTGCAGTGTTGCCATATTCTGACACTGTCCAAAAGTTCTTATCAATCTATGTAACCCTTTTACATAAAAGTAGAGTACTCCAAATAACATAGCTCCTTCAGTAGTAGTCCTTGCCCAGTACTAGTTTTAAAATAATTAAAAATCTCCTTCACTTGGTACACTTGAGAAAATTTTTGATGTCATGTTGATTTGTTCTTACTTATAAGATGATCATCATTATGATCTCATTGAGCATAAAGTGTGAAAATTAGAAGACATCTGACAAAATACTAGGTTTAACTATACTATGACATCTTCTTTTTACTTAAATTCAGATTATGGATGTAGTAGAATTTTCTGTAATATTACGTCAAGAATAGGAAGAAGCAAAGTTTATGGGCCCAAGAGAGGCTGAGGGAAGTTTTAGGAAACTATTTTAGTTTTACTGCTTCTGCCCAGTTACTATAATATTTTCCCACAGGAGCCCCTGTTATTTATGTGTCATAGCCTTTGCCTTTCTGTCACAGCACTGTCAGTTTACAATCTAGTAAAGTTAATTCTGTACAAATCTATCTCCCCTTAAGCTATCCACACCTTATCTGCCCCTGTTCGATTGTAAACTCACAGAGAGCAGGGCCCAAGACTCACTCCGTTTTTTCACCCACAGCTCTCAGCATAGAGTAAAACTTAAAAACATTTATGGAACTGAACTGAATTTTCTGAATCTTAAACAAGTAAAGAAAAATATATATCCTAAGAAAAAGATTGTAATAAAATAGTATTTATTAAGCACTGTGATAGACTAAATTCTGTGAATGATGGGGAAGAAATATTACATATGGTTCCTTCCCTCAAGGTACTATGATCACACTGGGAAGAAAGTGCAAAAATAAAAAGCAACATAGGGAGATATAAGGAGATATAAATATATATATATATTTATATATAGATTTATTTATATATGTATACACACACACACACACACACACACACACACATATATATACTGGGGGGTCCCAAAAAAATGTATACAAGTGGACACTTTGGTAAACGTTGCTCAGGCAGTTGTTCACCATAATCAGAAGTGTCTGGACGCTGATGGTAACCACTTTGAGCACCTCTTGCAATTGCAGAAGTAAAACATGGCTTGCATTTATCTTTTGTTATCAGTATACTCATATATTGAGTATTATAATTTTAACACAGTTTTCCTTTCTTAAAATGTGTATACATTTTTTTGGCAGCATATA